TCTTTCAAGTTATGACATCAGAGATTTCAAATCTTATCCAATTTACTTTTATCTTATTTAAGTGCACTTAAATTCATTGTGATCAATGAAAATCAAATAGATTGCGTTATACACAATTAGGTTGATTTTAATTAATTTTTGTTTTCTGAAATTGAGATGGTTTTCATTATAACAGATAGACAAATACATGAAGCCTGTTAAGTGTGGAGCCACAGCCTCATCCATAGCAAGCAGGTATTTATGGGGTTGAGCTGCTAGCCCCTATACCAAGCCAGTTTTGAATTCAGAGTTGTCTTCCAGCTAGACTGGTTACTTCTCTAAGCTAGAGAGTTGAGTCTGTTCTGCTGTTAACTGGAGGGAGAGAGGAAATGGATTTATATCTTTTCAAATGTATTTGCACAAAAGTGAATGCAGTAGCCTCAGCTGAAATTTGAACTCGACATGCCAATTGGTAAATATGGAATTTAGTAAACATAATAGGTATGTGAAGTTCAGGGAACTTTAAAAAAAATAAATAAATAAATGCCTCCCCCCCCAAAAAAAATGAACTAGGAGAAATTTATTATTTTCTTAATTTTCTGATGAATTGTCTGCTTAGACACAAGAAATAGGACCAGTGCAAGGGTCTTGTGCCCCCTTTCTTCTATGATACAGAACCCCTCACATCTTGATTTTTACTAGGTAGGGTGTATTTATATAAAATACAAATTTCATTTTAACCTAATTATGTACAATAATGGATCATATACAACATAAGTGAACAATTCAACTATAGATTGAAAATAAATACAATCTAAATACAAATAAGACACACGTCATAATTGATCATTTAATCTTAAATAAATCAATGTTTTACAGCAATTTTTAATATAAACTTGTGATTTTTCTTGTTACAAAGTTGTATAATTTAACATATTCAACATTATAAATAAAAAAAATAGTGAATTTTATATCGTATTTTGTTTGAGACTCAGCATGAGCAAAATAAATTCATGAATTTGGATGAGAGAAAAAAAATACACCAGAATGACATCAAAAACTGCAAAAAAATTTTCATTCATTAATCAATTGTGCTTAGTTTAATTTGTAATGTATATAAATGTAGGTAGGCAAAAAGCAAATGTTGATAGTAAGGATTAAAAAGAACAGGCTAGGGTCCCCTAATCAAGAACCCCTCCAGTAGTGGGGTTTGGATGTAATACATGACGGCCCTGACAAGAAATACTGCCTAACTCAACAGATTGATCAACCTGTTTACATTATTTTAACTTTTAGGTAGTGCCATGTGTATGTCTCGCTCTCTCTCTCTACATATATATATATCAAATTTCAAGTGGGCTGAACTGACAGTTTCATACACTTTCATGCAATCATTAGATGGTCATTGTAAAATAAGTTAAATAAATCTATTGAGAAGATGTAGCCTTGTCTTAAGAACAGTTTTATTTTTATGTACTTAATTCGTTTTCTGTCTAATCGCCTGATGATTGCATGAAAGCATATGAAACTGGCTGTCACGGTCAGTCACTACCCACTTCAAATTTGATTTAAAATATAATAAAGCTCTGCCATTTAATATAACTTAAAGAGTACTATTTTTTTGTGTTAGCTGACTCTTTTGGGAGCTGTTAATTCTTATTTTTATTATTACACACACACACACATTTCATACAATTGGAATTAAGATACCAATAGTTAATGACCATTTTCACTTACAAATTTTAAAATTTAAAATTCGCAAGATTTTTCAAACTGTTTATGGTGTCAGTTTATAGAAGGGAACTGGTTAGTTGGGGAAGGAAAATGAGAACATTAGAGGGGAAGAGATGACAAAAGAAGGCATAGTTACAGGAAGTAATGTGGGGTATTGTATTATGGAGGTAAGAGTGGGTAGGGCGAGAGGAGGGAACCCTATGAGCAGACCTATGTCTGGTCACATGATTAAAGTCTGATTCAACAGGAATCCACAGAAATTAATGAAAAAATGAAAAATCCTAATTTATATAAACTATCAAGAGATAACCTTTATGCGATGAAGGATAATTCAGAACTATTGGTGCATTAAGTTTATTTATGTATCAGAACCTAAAAATTAAGGGAAGTGTTTTAAAGATTTGTAAGGAATTTGAATATACATGCATACACACTTGCATCTGTGCATGTTAAGAACATTTCTACTCGTACAGCTGTCTATATGTACATTCATATAGATACCTACATACATGCATATACTAGCCAACATGTATTGACATATAACCCTAAGTTAGGTAAAATATTTTCTATGGTAATAAAAGGAGTTAAGTTAAATTAGAAAAAAATTAAATTTTTTTTTAAATGAGCCTTAGCTTAACTGCAATTAAATAGAATTATAAGATGAAATGAAATAAAAATTATTGTTAAGCACAAATGTATTATCATTAATTATTTCCCTTAGATATATATTTCTTTAATCCCATAATGTAATATGTATCAGTAAGTTACCCTTTAATACAACTTATTAAATTCATATATTAACGTATGTACCATATATTAAATATTAGAAAGCCCTATGATAATAGTAAAATCTGATTAATTAAGATTGGATATACTGAATGATTCATACTAAATATATATAGGATATAAGAATTTTATCTATCTATCTATCTATATCTATATATATATATATATATATATATATATATATATACACACACACACACACACATATATATTCAAATTTAAGGAGGGCTCATATAAACTTCATAAATAAATGTTATTACATGATATTCAATTAGCCTAAAGATTATCTAATTTATTATTATATCATAAACCATTGTAGTGGAAATCTAATGCCTATATATATTGGATAATGAAGGATAATTCGGTATGAAAAATTTTGCTCTGTTTAATGAAAATAAACATTAAGTGCTCTTTGTGAGTCAATTTTAACATTTAATATTTCAAATTCTATATTGTGTTAATAGGACTCGTTTGGATTATACCAACAGATTACTACCTGAAATAAATATATATATATATATATATATATATATATATATATATATATATATATATATATATATATATATATATATATGACAACACAAAAACTAGACATATTATATTGCCTACAAAAACTCCATAACTAATTGCTAGAAAGTTAGTTAATCTGTAACAATTACCACCATTTCAAAAACAGTTTAGAATTATAACATAGAGCTAACTTTAGAAGCAAGAGTCTACCAAATCGAATGCAGACAATATCTCCAAAATAAATCAGTGAAAACATTGTGAGATTTAATGAAAATAATATATGAACATAAAGGGAATTAAAATTAAACAATACATTTGAATATAATTTATGAAGAAGCATTGTATGTACTATGATCAATAAAGTCCCCTATGGTTAATATACAATCGGTCCATCTCGGTTTATTTTATCTTCTTTCTAAATTGGTAATGAGACTATGTAGAATATACAAACCTTGAAATAAAAAGAATGAAAAAACAACCAAAAAAAAAAAAAAAATCTGAAATGAGTTAAAATCTAATTTCTTTATTAATGATTAGTTAATAGTTAATTAGCATGAATCCGGTTTTATCTTTCTAGTGGAGATTTTGTTGCAATAAAATTATTTTCCTGACCATTCATTGGAGAAACAAGTCAATGTAGAAGTTTACCAGATGTGGCTTTTTAGTAGGATGAATAATAATAATAATAATATATACAGACACACACACACACACACACACACACACACATATATATATATATATATATATATATATATATATATATATATATATATATATATACACACATACACACGGTGAGGAACAAAATGTATATTATTAGTATAAATTTTAGCTCTGTTATACATTGAGTACTATTTTATTACCACCAGCCCTCAATGTGTGATACTTATATATTTGAAGAAAAATGAAAAACTATTTCATTGAAACTAGATTAGATTATGCACATGGCCTTTACTTGGCTTCATCAGATCAAAAACATAAAGAAATGTGTGTGTATGCTTAAATAATATATCATTAGTAGTATTTTCGCTAAGCTGATGTTTCTTGCGATGAAAGAAATGAATGAAATTGTGTGACTTTGTAAAAAAGCCATTAATATTTTTTTTTGTATCTTTTTATTTAAGATTTTCTAGTTCTTGTTGGAATCTTAAAAGATACAGAATAAATATTAACGATTTTTTTACAACTTTGCACTATTTCATTTATTTTTTTGATCACGAGAAACACCAGCTTAGCGGAAAAAAGTATGAGTGATTTATTATTTAAGCACATGCATACATATTCTAATCTAGTTTTAATGAAACAGTTTTTTATTTTTCATATTCTTCAAACTTTATTGGGATTCTGTATCCTATTTTATTTCTCTCTCTCTCCTATTTTATTTCTCTCTCTCTACACGCACGTATATTTTCATGTTGAGCAACAGAATGCTTGATTTTTACTTTAAATGTATCATGATAGAAATTAAATTTTTTACTAATTTCAAATTGTTTTTTATTTATTCCTCATGGTTTATGTGTCCCAGATTGTTCAGTATAAATTTAAGTAAGAACAATAATACTGAAATAATGTCGATTATGTAAACCTTGGGGGTGGGGAATGAAAATTTACTTGATAGCAGTTCAAATCTAATTTCTAAAATGATTCAGTTAAAAATAAAGCGTTCAATCACTTAATGTGAATCCTGTATTGTGATATTAATTTCTGATTTTATTTTTTGCCTTATCTAAATAAATGTATCGGATTTATTTTTCCTCTCTTTTTTTTTTTGTTGTAAAAATGTCCAAAGCAAACTTTAAAATGCCATTATTGTAACAGCTGGTTCTGACCAAGTGTATACTGTTTTTTTTTTTTTTTTTTTTTTTAGTATCCTCAGTTCTCTGCTATTTCTGCCTTGGTTTAATTATTGCTTTTGCATTTACAATTGTGTTTGCTTCTGAAGCAGATTCAAAATAGCCATGTGTTCTTATCTTGTTTATTTTCAGGCTCAGGAAGATGCTGAGATCTTGAAATCAGTGGTTCTTCCCCTGGAGGAAGAGATAAAATCTCTGAAGAACCAGGTGCAAGAATCAGATGAAAAAGTTAAAGATCTGGAAAAACAGGTAGGTAGCCATTGAAATTAAGTCAGATGCTGAAATGGTTGGACAATATTCTTTTTTTCCAGACATTTTCTTTGTCTGAAAAACAACAACTGAAATATTTACACTATTTACATTGTTCAATCTGTTATCTTCATCTTTATTGTCACATTCACCATGTTTCGGGATAGATTGTTCTAATTTCAAGTGCCATGCTTTTGGATATCTCTGTTTTAGTTAATTCCCCTTGATAGCTCAACTCTCCAAGTCCCGTGGATTAAATAAAGGGTTCAATTTGAAATTCCAATAAATATCACCTGAAGAAGACGTACAAAAGTTGAATATAGCAATAAAGATGAGGACAACAGTCCGAACAATGTAAATAGTTACAATACCTCACCTCAAAAATATAGACAAACCACTAAAATGGTCCATTTTGATTAGTAATTCTTTCACCTTAATTTCAATTGCTTTATTTACACTAGTCATATTAGTAGTAATAATATCTGTAATTTTTATTACATGAAGCATTGTCAAGCAATCGTCATTTTTATATTTCATAGACTCTGCAAAAACAGGTAAGGTACAACACAGATATACAGTGCTGTTCGATAAAAGTGACTCACCTGATTTTTTTTACTAAAAATATTTTTTGTCTATTGTTTTTGGGGTTAAAATAATTTTAATCTTGCTAATATAAAGACCCCTTCCCGACCACCTAGGAAAAAAGTTTATTCACCCTAAGGTATTCTATTGATAATTATAAATTTGGATATAAATGAAATTCAGGAAAAAACTCTGTGCAAAAAAAAGTGACTCAGATATCGCATTCTAATGATTAAACTGGTAAATTTAAAGAGCTTTTGACAAAATATTGAAAACTATTTTACAATACACTCAGAACAATATTCTAGAGAATTCTAGAACAGCTTAAATTAAATCTAGAGTATTCCAGAATATTCCAGAAAGCCTCATACAGTATAAAAACAACTTGAAATAGCCACTCAAGTCACTAACCAGATGAAAGGTTACAAACACACATCAGAACCACTTAAGGCATCTATTATTGCCCTCTCAAAAGCAGGCAAGTCTAGAAAAGAAATTGCTATAACCTCGCAATCAACTGTCTCAGGCAGTGTCTTAGGGCACATAATGATGCCACTCCTGCTCCAAGGAAGGAAACAAGGGGATGAAAGAAAAAGATTGATGATAGAACTCGCAGGGTAATCCAGAGAGAAGTTGCAAAGAATAGGACTATAACTAGCCAAGAAATTGCAGCCAGTCTAAGCGAAGAGCAAGGTGTTAGTCTTGCTTCTTCAACAGTCCGTCGGTGGCTGTTAGAACAAGGCTATAAATCTTGTACACGAAGGTTTAAACCGCTAATAAGCAAAGCCAACAAAGCCAAGAGACTTGAATGGGCTCACTATTACAAAAATTTCACTGTAGAAGACTGGAAGAATGTTCTCTTCTCTGATGAAATGAAAGTTGAGCTAAATTCAAAGGATAAGGTGAGTCACTTTTATCGAACAGCACTGTATCTGAACTACTAGGAAAACTTTGTTTATTCAGGAAATATATTAGAATGATCCAGAACATTTATTGGGAGCAAACTGTCTGTATATGAATAGAAAACAAATTAAGTACATAAGAATAAAAATGTACCCAAGACAAGGATGCATCTTTGCACTAGATTGATTTAACTTTTACAGTGAGGCAATCCTAAGATAACTAGAAGTCTTAGTAGGATTTAATATTGGTGGTCACAACCTAAACAACATAATATACGCAGATGACACACACAAAAAGAAAACTGCAGGAGCTCCTAGACAAGGTAGTGAAGGAAGGCAAGAAGAAAGGACTAAATATCAGTTGTACAAAGACAGAATATAGAGTTGTTAGCAAAAAGAGCGGCCCCAGATATGAGTTATGAATTAGGGGACATCAAGATCAAGCAAGTACAGAAATTTAAATATCAGGAAAGGGTTTTAACAGACAACAGAAAATGTGACTCAGAAATTTGAAGGTACATTGAAGTAGACAAAGATGTCTTCCAAAAACTAAATAAGGTATCAAGAAACAGGAAAATTTTGTTTAAAACAAAAGAATGCTGAATTACTACGTAACGTTAATTCTTCTATATGGCAGTGAATGCTGGACAATTTTCACACAGATGGAGAAGTGACTTGAGGTAACAGTGATGTGGTTCTACAGAACGATGCTGAGAATACCATGAACAGAGCATGTGAGGAACAAGGAAGTTTTAAAGAAAAATGGGCACAAAAATGACACTTAGAATCAGAGACAGTTATGAGTTTTAGACCTCAAGCAAACACTAGACCCTCTATCACTATGTATGCAGGTTTCTATATATAGGTCATTGGGGTGAATGGGTGGAAAGTAGAAACTGGCCCTTCCCAGATATTTTTTTTGTTTAAGAGCTATTTTTTTTTATTTATTTATTTTTAAATCAATTCACGCCAAGCAATGTGATAATGCTACTAAGACAAAAGAGGTTATAGAGAATGAAAATATGGGAAAACTTTAGAAGTAACTGGAAACCTACTCTTAAACAGGAAACGAGGGGGGAAAAAAATCAAACTTTTACTCCTGTTCAAAAGGCTAGGGAGAAGTGTGAAGCCACATGATAAGCAAACCTATCCTACTCTTATCAAGGAAAAATAAATAGTAAATAAAATTTCAGAGTTTATATATTAAAAGTATAGAGTTGAATTAAACTTTAGAAGGAACCGGAAACCCAATCCTAAACAGGAAACAAGGGATAAACCTCTTTTCAAAAAGCTGAGGAGGAGGAGTGTGAACAGGATGATAAGCAAATTGTTTATTTAGTTATTTCTTTTTCATTTATTAGTTTTTTTTTTTTATGTATTTTCCTAAGTTCCTTATAGTTGTATTCAAAATAAGTTTTATTAGATTTTTGAGTTTTTGTCAGCCATGTTGTAGATAGTGTAGAAGGAATTTTTTTCATGTCATCATTTGAAAATAAGCCCTGATCTTTTGTTCAAGAGTTTATATTTTTTCTGGAAAAACAATTTTCTCCTCTATGCAAAAGTTACTGTTTTGAGGTGTTTTTGTAATCTGGTGCTATTTTTTTTTATTTCCATTTTCTTAGTTTGCCTTTAATAAGACTGTTAACAGTTATTCACAATGTTAAAATTTTCTGTTATTACCTTTATGAAAATGGCATAGACTGTTGCTCGAGGACAGGCTATGGCATTTGGTGGATTATTTCATTTGTATTTATTTAAGTCACCAGTTGAAAGGAGTCAATTTGGTGAGCTGACTCTTTATTCTTTGTTTACAAAAAGCTCAAAATTAAATCATGGGAAATACACAAGAAATACAAACTGGTAAATTTGAAATTATTTTGAGGAAAATCTGAAATCAAGAAAAAAAATTCCTGTTTGATTTCTTGACTTCTCGTTTCAACTTTGCTTGCGGATTAGAATGAACATCCAATATGAAACTTCATTTTTTTTAAATTTTTTTTTTTTATCTTTTGTTTATTACTGCTGCTTGTGATTTTTTTAGAAAAAGGAAATTATATTTTGTGTGGATGAGGGGTTGGTTTAATGGATAGTAGCTCCAAATAAGAAATCGGAGAGGTGAGTTTGAATTCCCGTCAGGTTCGTTAAATTCACCTAAACATGCAAATGCTCTTAGAAAAGGTCTAGATCGATCTCCTCCCCACAGTTAAATAGTAGCACTTGCATCTGGAACAAATCATTGTCATTCTTAAATAATTGTTAATGTAATATAAAGAAAAAAAAAAAAGAATTATTACAATTCAAAATAGGTTTTGATTTTAAATAACCTGCAAAGCGTTAAGTTGTAAAAAAAAAACAAATCTAATCTTAAATTTCAATGTCTCTTGTGAAAATGAATGGAATTACATAATGATATGAAAAATATTCATTATATAATTTTTATCAAACTCTGGGTTTTATAATTTTCCTTTTTAAATGATTTTTTTCTTTTTTTCATATATCATGAGAGAAACTCTCACTTTTGTTAGTGGATTTTAGTTTGTAGATCTTGTCCTCCAGAAAGTACAATTTCTTCCCATTGTGTTTATTCAAGTGAATTTTTCACTTACCTCCCCTGACAGGATAATTTCTTTTGTTACCAATATTCAGAGGCTGTAATATGATTATTTTGTACATCATCCTACTTACAATTATTGCCATGAGACACAAACAGTTGTCTACATTGTTTAAACAAATTAGCTGTAAATATTAACATTGCCTTTTTATAGCCATCTGTCACTTGTATTATTGTCAACTAAGACTTTTGCTATTTATGTAAATAGCAAAGTAATTGTTCTAAGTAATACATTAATTGAAATAAGTGCTGTATAATTCGGTTTCCTTTTACTTTAAGAAAACATTCTCATTACAGAAGTGCCATTATTAAACTTGGCAAATTTCCTCTATTTTTACAAGATAATGAAGATGAATTTTGAACAAAAAATTTAAGCAAAATCAAACAAAAATTACACATTTTTCTATTTGCAGTAAATATTAGCAATAACCATAATACTTCTCTTTACATTACCAACACAATTATGTCAAATGATAAAATGCTTACATAGATTTCATATATTGTTTTTTATTTAAACTTTCATACAATTTTTTTCTGATATTACACAAAAAAGTAATATTTATATCTTGCTCATGCTATTTTCCAGCATTTAAAACAAAGCTTCAATGAAGATATGGTGTGGGTGGGTGTTACACGAACTCTCTCTCTCTCCCTCTCTGACTCACGCGCACGCTCTCTCTCACTGACACACATAAAACATTATATCACTATCCTTTGATTCATTCTTAAAACATCTAACTTGTATTTAATACAAATATAACAGTCTGAGATAAAATGAAATGCCACTCCATCGTCCCAGCTGACTGCACGTTAGAACTCTTCCTATTAGACACACACATACACAATTACAAATACACATTACCATCCAATGCCAGTTTAGACATACTAGAATTTTTACAAACTTATATATTGAATTATCTATGGTTTTAATGCACATCATACATGGCTGACCAATGAGAATCAACCCAAGGAATATTGAAATACCAAAGCTCTCGAATTTGTCGTTATAATCCTGTCAGATTCTGATCCATATTTGATCTACATTTGATCTTGAACACACACACATATTTTGATGACAATATTGGTTGTTATTGTGAGTTTGTTGGTTTCTTTTTCAGTTGGCTGAGGTTTCTGTTGATGAAGCCATGGCAAAAGTGTGTGAAGCCAAGAAATCTCCCTCTCTACCAGAATTCGATGAAAATACCGAACCGGAAGAAAAGGTAGGTTAATTATTTAAAAAAAAAAAAAATTTTTTTTTGTGCATCCATAATTTTTCTAAAAAGTTCTCAAACCAACCCACTTTCCAGAATCTGACCAAACATAAAAATTTTAGTTCATTTATTTTTCAATCTCTTCTAAGTATGGCCGATAGCTTTTCAGCATGTAGAAAAATTATTTTTCTTGTTTTTATTTATTTTTTTTTTTCTTATATATTTATTTATTTTTATTTTAATCAGTGTTTTTACTATGTTAATAAAACACCAATTAAAATAAATAAATAAATATATAAGATAAGAAATAAAAAAATAAATAAAAACAAGCAAAATAAATTAACCCAAATAAATAAATAAATAAACAACTTCCAGCAAAATAACCAGCAATATAGTCTATACGCAATGCACCACTGACCCGTATATATAAATAGCCAAGAAAAAAAAACAACACTCGTGGTCTGATGATTGTGTCTAGCATGAAACAGCCTGTCGCCTCTAAGTGTTGACTTCAATGTTCACTATATATATATATATATATATATATATATATATTGTAATGATACAATATTGGTAATCCATATGGAATTTCTAGGAGGATATAGATCCAGGGAGAGATCTATGTCAAAATGGAGTAAAGCTAGTAACAATAATAGTAAAATGCTTTGTATTAAACTTCCAAAATGTAACTTGAATACTTGTAGGCTTTTGTTGACGTTTGTTGAACTTTTAACTTCTGACATTAGGGAACAGAATCAAGTACAGATTTTAATTTACTAAAAACAAACACTGAATTTCAAACTAAAATATTCAAAAATCCAATTGTCTTTTACCAGCAAAGAAAGACAATAACTTGGTAAAATAAAATATCTGGGAAAACAACTACTGCTGTATAAATTGGTTTAAAAAATGTTTTAAAATTATTTATTCATTTATTTATTTATTTTGTCAGATCCAACAGCTGATGAAGTATTTAAAAGTTGAAAAATCATCACGCACAGACCTTGAGATGTTTGTGGCTGTCCTCAACACCCAGAAGTCAGTGCTGCAAACAGAAAATGAGACCCTAAAGTCCGAGTTGCATGAAGGTAAGAAATAAACTTTCCATTTTGCTCACTGACAAAAAAACAAATTGAGACCTATCATGACTGGTTTTCTTTGTGACAAATGATATTGCATCTGTTCCTGATGTTTGAATGTTGATTTAAAAGGATTTGGGAAAAGAAATATTCCTTAAGCAAGCCATCAATGGCAGGTATCATTAACTGATGTTTCATTAGAGATGAACAGATGTCATCAATTGATGATTTAAATGTTTTCCAATGATATGGCCATCATTTATTTATTCATAATTTGAGTCAAAATGGCTACCATATATATATATATATATACTCATGTATAAAACTACTTTATGTATAATACGATCCCTGAATCCTTTGTGAAAAATCTGATATAGCTTGTGTTTCATGTAACCTCAACTTCTGAGCAATACTAGTAGGCCAACCATAGTCAAATATTGCAGTACTGGGCCTTATCCTGGACATATTTTATGGCAAATGTTTTTTTTTTTCTTTCTTTTTTTGTATAAAGCTACCCCAAAATGGTGAGAGAAAACTACTTACCATAAAATATTTGATACAAAGATTTTGATACCATACTTTTTTTTTGTTCATGCCTGATTTTTAACCCCTTCAAAAATTTATCTCTGTTATAGTGCAACCCCCTATTTTTTTTGTGTATAAAAACTCATACTCTACTCAAGTACATATGGTAATTGGCAACTGCAGAGTTCATGATGTTACTATTTTATCAGGATTCATGAGTTTACATCATTTACTGTAGTATTTACCTGAAAATAAAATTGGATGAACAAGTCTGAAACGGTGCTCTGCCTTCATGCATATTTCTTGAAGAGAAACCAAAAAAATGGCAACAACTTTGAGCAAAGAATGCACAATGCCATTTTGCATGGAATGATTCATACTCTGTTAAAAAATATTACATTTAGGTACCCAACATTTGTTTTATTTTTTATTTTTATGTTCTAAGAATTAAAATATTATTTTTATAGTTTTTCTATAAAATCAAAGCAGAAATAAACATTAAAAAAACCCTTCAAAAAATTAAATTTCTCTTTTTTACCTGTTCGGCATGAATACTCGCACAGTCTTTTTCCTCCATTTGAGAGTTAAGTAGTAAATTGTCGTACTTTAGAGGCAAAACGCAAGGTTGAACTCTGAGTGCTGCTGTTATAAACATTAGATAATAATGTTTATAGCTTTCTGAAAAAGGCATGTACCTTAAAGCTCCTGATTCACATCTGTACACATGAATGTACCAAAGGCTTATGGCTACATCACATTGAAACATTGGTTCCCATACAATCACTGGAGTTAAACAACATTAAGCCTGCTCAGTTATTGCTCGCTCTGTACCTAGATGGGTGAGCACTTGGGAATACCAGGTGTTGTAAACTTGGACGTGCAGGTGGTGTAAAGGATAATGGCTCAGAATTGTTAATCAGAGAGCAGAGTTCCAATTCCATTTAGGTTTAATTATATTTACTTATTCACAAATATCTTTTAGGAAAGGTATGAATCCACCCTTCTCCTCCAGCGATGGATTAATTAGTAAGACTTGTATCATTAAAACCATTATTATCTTCCAAAAAAAAAATTGCATACAAAATATTTAGATTTCAGCATTAAATAACATGTAGAGGTTGATATGCCACTAAACAAAACCAGCCAACCCATGAATGTACCATGACAAAATGCTTTCTAATTTAGCTGAAGACATAAAAATTACTAGTTTTTTTTTTTTTTTTTTTTTTTGTTGGATTTTGAGTTAAGGAGGTAGAAAAATTCTTTCATTCCATGAAAATAATGAAAAACATTGACAAGAAGAATATGTTATTTTATATACAAAGAGAGTGATTAACAAAGATACATTACTGAGAGAGAGAGAGAAACCATACAACTGTAACATAATGTATCTTTATTTCATTCAACCAGAGCTCCTCCTCTTTGTAATAAAATATCCTAATAATTTCTGTCTGAATTTCTGGGTTGAGGAGGTAGCATTATTTGCACTATTTACATTCGGACAACTGTCCTCATCTTTGTTGTTACCACAGCATTTCAGCCTTGTGCCCTCCAAATTTATCAGGTGTATATCAATCCTGGTAACCAACAGGAAATCCTTTATTTAATCTATGATTAAATAAACACTTCTTGTTCCACTGTCCATATCTAGGAATATCTCATTTAGTTCTTATTTTTAGTACTGCTCAGTTATTGCTTGCCCTGTTTCCACTGAATCCACATAAACACTGCTTGACCCAGGGATTGAACTCACAATTATGTTAACAAATTCATGAACCAAAGCTATTGTACCATACCTGAATCCTAGAGTTTCTAAATACTTGACAAGTTAGAACACTAAGGAGTTAGACACCTGAAAGAATCAGTGCATATGCTAGGCTTTGAGGATCTCTTTAGTAGGCCTAGCATAGAAATAAATATGACATGGGAACTGCTAATAAAGAAAGACAAAGCTTCAGTGAATGCACTCGTTATCAGGCAGGTTAGATTTAAGGCTCCAAGTTCTCCAGAGAATTGTCCTACTTGTACAGCAAATATAACCAATTCAATTGCATAATTAAATGTTTCTGTCATTTTGTGATGGTACATGCTCATATTAGCTTTCTTTGGATATTTTTATTTTAATGATTTAAAAAAAAAAAAAAAAAGCAGGTTCTTTCTTACATGTGACAGTTAATTTTATAAAAAAAAAAAAGAAAACCTACATTACTTGTGTAGAATTGCTGGAAAAGTTTTTGATGGGACTCTAAGTTGCTTTTTTCTAGTTTCAGATAGAGATTTGCTCTGTGTTTGGGTGTCATTGCATTTTAATATGTCACCAAATTGGCAAACTAATGCTTTAATCTGCCAGGCTATTTTATCCCACTAAATTTACAGAAGCCAAAAAAAATGTCCTTGTTTAGACTTCTGAAAGTATTTTCCTTTTACCTACCTTTCATGTAAGATACAGGGAATAATTCTTGGCTCTTATCTCTTTGACTTCCTAGCTTCCTTATTTATACCATTTCTGTAGAGATTCTACATTTTGAATGTGTATATTAGTATCGTGTCTATCCATTAATCCGCTTTTAGATTCTGATGTTTTAAAAAAGGACATATCATTAGAATAGGAAGAAATCTAGGGAAGGTAGTTTAGAATATGAATTTTGTTTTGAAGATACTTTTATTTTGATAAGTAAATTCCTAATTAAATAATTGTTAAAGTCACTCTTCTGTCTTTCCTTTGAATAAAAATCAAGAAGTATTTTCAGCTTTCTTGTGTATTTGTATGATTACTTATTTTTCTTTGTATAATTGTAATGATGACTGTGTAGCCTATGTGTGCATCAAATCAATGTCGGGAATGAATTATTGACATTGTTTATTTTGTTTCTCTTTAAAACCTAGTTTGTCGAATGTTGGAAGATGAGAAGCGTGTCCACAATGACCTGAAACGTACATGGCAAATGGCTAATGACCAATTCTTGGAGTCTCAGCGTTTGATGATGATGGATATGCGACGGATGGAGAGTGTATTGACTACTGAACAGCAAAGGCAAATAGCAGGTAAACTAATCATCTGCTTATTTAGAACAAAAATAAAATATAACATCAACCAGGCATTTCTTTATTTTTTTTTTCATTGGTGGCAAGGGGAATGGGGATCCTACAAATAAAAATGGCTTTGGGGTTTTATTTTTAAGTGGTATTTCCCCATTAAGTAAATTTTTTTCACTGAAAAATTTCAGTTTTTTGATCAAGTGAAAAGTTCATGAAGAGAAAAAATGATTTATTAGATGGAAAGTGTTTGTGTGTGTGTGTGTGTATTTGAACTTGACAAGTTACTTCTGTTAAGTTTTATTTAATTTTTCTATATATGAACAAGAGATTTCTTTTCTGGATATAATGTATGTAGGAATTGATAAATAAATGTATGTTCATTCAGAATGCTTTTGGCTAATTCTATTAGCCATTTTCAAGGCTATTGCTGATGCATTGGCATCTTTTTAATTCCTGAACATGGCCAATACATAATGGCCTTGTTTATTGTTGATGTTGTTCATCAGAAGTAAAGAAAAAAACAATCCTTAACAATATCAGCTGTTAATTTTTTTCCCCTTGGAATAGTTTTATGTAAACAAACCACATGGGTGATTGCCTTTGACTGGCTGCATTTTTCTTATGTAAAGTTCTTTTTGCCAAAATTCTTCTTCTTAAGAAACTACTTGAATCTCTTTATAAAAACAATTCAGTTTCAAGGGTCTTTAGAGACAATTCCCAATTTCAACCAAGGAAGTAATTTATAACCCAAGTTTGAGTTAAGCAAACTTCAGTTTTATTTGTGTCTCTCTCCCAATATTGTTATCATTGTTTTGATCTGAGGAATTTTTCAAAGGATTTGATAGAAAGGTAATTCCTTCCTAGGTGTTGCAACAAAGAAAACGTGGAATGGCTTTAATGGTGTCAATTAATATCTGATGTAATTCGTGTCTGAAGGTTTTGCTTCTCTTACTTTTTCAAACCCCCAATCTCATTTGCAGAACTTCAGCAAAAAGATCTTGAACGTGACGCTCAGGAACGAAGAGTGAAGGAATTGGAAGAGATGAGAGAAAAACAACAAAGGGAACAAGAAAAGAGAAGAAAAGGTGTGTATGCCCCCCCCACCTTCCAAACAAATGATTTTTAAATTGATATTATTTTTGTACTTGTTCACATGCAGTAAGGCTTTGTAGCCATAGATACTGTATCAATACTAAACTTGTTGAGAGATTACTTTTTACTGTGAGTTTAAGGTAGTTAAGATATTTTATGAAGACTGTATTTACTAGCGTCACTTGATAAGCCCCTTCCAAAGAACTGTACCAGATGACAGAAACCACATTTACTTGAGAACTTTCAACAGCAGCACAACTAAAATAGCTATTACATGTAACTTGTAAGGAAAATGACATAAGCAAGATGTTGATGTTCTGCACTATTTCAAAGAAAAGGTTAAGAAGGAAATTCCCATCTGTACTGAAAAAGGTGATAACAGCTGAGCTTGAGAAAACTATTTTCTTGAAAAAATAGTTTTAAGAGAAAGATTTTATAAATTTCGACCAACAGCAGCACTGGCTGCCCATTTGAATTAATGCTGAATATTTCCTTATAAGGAAACGGCTAATATTACCATTATTATAGTATAATATATAATGGGGTGTTGAAAACTTCTCAGCCTGATCCACTTCCTGGAATTTGATCAAATGAAACTGATTTTTTTTTCCTCTTGAAGAAATTTTTTGTCAGGTCATGGACTTTTCACCATGACCCTTGATTTATACACTGTAGCAGAATTTCAGTATTTACTTAGAAGAGCAATTTGGTAGATTTGTGGAAACTTTAGCAAGTCAAATTTAAATCCAGTTTTAATTTTCAGTTAGTTTGTATTTGTATACATAAAAAAAAAAAAAAAATTCGTCCTACCTCACACACAAAACTCAAGGAGTGACACATTTGAATTTTGGGCTGTTTTCCCATTTTTTCTCCAGACTTGCTTATCCCTGTTGTAGATGCTTGTTCAGACACATTTGTTTGTTCAACACCCACAGCAAACCTGTAGTTTATACTGCAACTATACTGAGCAGTCCTTAGATACAGTTTCTGCCAGAGAGTGCTTAATCTGGTGTGATCAACAGTTTGAACAAGACCAGTATGCTCAAAGCCTTGGTCACGATGACTTGTGATTTCATGTTAGCACACTCATCAACAGCTTCTGAACAGTTCTGTCTATCCAAATTTACTCAATGCTTGGGTCAAGCTGTGGTATGGCTTTCATGTACTTTCCAAAGGTGTCACACACTGGGATTAACTCCCTTCCCCAGGTCAAGAGCAACATATGTTTAGTCAATAAGTAACAGCAGCTTTTACAATCTACAATATGTTTTACCTCCTTATCTTTATGAAATCTGAAACCCAACCGTATTTAGAACGAGTTTTGAATTAGATTTTATACAGTTTATCAACTTTTTGCAAGTGATTTAAAGCCAGAAAATACTTTTAAATTATAAGAATTTTTAGAGATAATAATGATTTAATGATACAAGTCCTACTGCCAAATAATATCACAATTTTTTTGCAACTCTGCCAAGTATATGTCAACCAATTCCCTGTGATAATGCCTCACTCAGTGAATTGCTCATACACCATGAACCCATCCATTGCAAAAGCTGTATGCAATGAAGATTTTATTCAGTTAATATCTTCTCTTTCCTCTTCTTCCAGCTGCTGGTAGACAGCAAATGCTCCACCCAACAACGTTTTACACAGCACATATTGCATACAAGTTCCTACTTTATGATCCATTTGACCACGGATGGTCCAAACACTGAGCCATCAAACGCATTTGTGAGTTTGATGGCGAATTTCTCTTCTATCATTATGCCTTTTGGGAGGCTGAAATAGCTTGTTGCAAAAAGGTGCATCTGTTTGGAGTACCAGTTGTACATATCTTTTTATAATCACAATCAGTGAAACTTTTACAAAACTCCACAAATAAAGCATGACTACCAGACTCATCAGCCTCTGCTGACCCCGTCTGACTCATGCTCATTTTAATTGAGTGCTTGAGGCTTAGAAATTTTCATAAGCCACAAATTCATCTTGCAAAATCTCTGAGTTATGAGATCAGGTTGTTCTTAAATTGTAACTTTTGAATTGACCATGTTTTCTTTCAAGTATCTTGCACGCAAGACACATATGAGTATGTTTTGTTTCAGGAGGTAAGTCATTTTTCCTTCTACACCTACCATAGCCAGACAGAGAAGTGTTGGATTCATACCTTTCTGAGGGTTATTTGTGTGCGTTAGTGCATTATTCTTATATAAAGTTCTTTTTGCCAAAATTCTTCTTAAGGAACTACTTGAATCTCTTTATAAAAACAATTCAGTTTCAAGGGTCTTTAGAGACAATTCCCAATTTCAACCAAGGAAGTAATTTATAACCCAACTTTGAGCCTGACTTGGCTCTCTGACTCCCAATTCCAAGCCATTATACCACACTGCACATCCAAGGTATTCCCAAGCAGTCACCTATCTAGGTACTGACCAGGCTTGCTGTTGCTTAAATTCAGTGGTCTTATGAGAAACAGTGTTTTAATGTGATATGGCTGTAACCAGAGTTTAGATTTAGGATTTACTCTGCAGAATATGCATAATGGTAAAACAATTAACAAACTGTTGTTTCATCTTTTTTTTTTTTTTTTTTCCGAAGTTATTCATGTTCAAATAAATTATTCAATTACTATTGCAGAGATACTTCAAAGGCAACAAGCCAGTCCTGTCAAAGTAAGTATTGTGTTCCTTTGATTTTTACTAATCAACTTTTCTGTTGTAACATCATTTAGCAAATAAGGAAATTTTCTTTGGCCTTACGTACACTTGTTTTCTTTTTCCTTCTGATTACTGGCTGGAACGGATTTTAATGTCTGGTTTCAAGCCACCACTCAGGGAAATGACATTCGGTTATAAAGATTACAATATTACTTGTTTGGCAAACGTGGACTTATGTGATTGCAATAATATGTAGTGTCAAAATGACATTTTAACCCATGACACTGCTTTTTTTTTAACTACCTTCACTCATTGGCAATGTTCATTGTTTTAAAATGTAATGATTAAAATTGGAATAAAACCTAAACATATGATGAATGTGAATTTATATATCTTTCTTTTTTCTTGAGAATTGACAAAATATTAAACACCATCTATTTATTAGATTAATTATTTATAAGAATAATTTTATATTTACAACATTCTAAAAACTAATAGAATTGTATTAAGACTAATGCAATGCAATATGTATCATTTACCAATTTATAAAGAAATAAATATTAAAACCATTATTTATTCATAAACTTATAAACATTTACTAAATTATAAATATTTACTAAATATGTGAACCAACTATAAGGAAATTTTTATTATTTACCATTTTATAAAGTTTGAATCAATTGGCAACTGGCCAATATTTTGCCAACCATTGCAATAAATAATACAAAAAATATTGTATGCAATCTAATTTATAAGAATAATTTTATATTTACAACATTCTAAAAACTAAATTAAAACTAATGCAATGCAATATTTATCATTTACCAATTTATAAAGAAATGTGAAAAACCAGTTTTTATTCATAAATTTATAATAATTTGATAAATTATTAAAACATGTGAACCAACTATAAGGAAATCTTTATTATTTACCATTTTATAAAGTTTGAATCAATTGGTAATTAGCCGATGCTTTGTCAACCATTCCAATAAAAAACCTAATAGTGTTTATTATTTCTGTTGTCAATCTTCAAGAACAAAGAAAATGTACAACTTCACATTCATATATTTAGGTCATATTACGATCTCCTTTTCAAACCATAAACATTGCTGAAGAGTAGTTAAAAAAAAAGTGGTGTCATGGGGAAAACCATCCTATTGTGGGCCTGTTTATCCATATTTGCTATTTGTTCTTTTTTTTTTTTTTCAAATAGAAATGGTTAAAAGAATGAACCTAGAAATAAAGGAGATGAGCGAGATCTGAGAATTATACTGTCTTGTAAAGTGTTGGGATGAAAACTCCTTAGAACTGATCCAGATCTTTCTCACTCCTCTTGGATGAACCCCATCCTGATTGGCCATGTCTTCAGGAGTGTAGCCATACTCACCATGTTTGGCCAGTTGCTGGTTGGTGAAGCTATTTAACCCATAGTTGGTTTCAAATTCAGACTTGATCTTCTTGACTGGTTGCCAAGCGAGGGTATAAAACCCAGTCTATCCTGCTATTTACCCACTGATCTGGGTGAGACGAAATGGATGCATAATTTTCCCAAGGTATTTGTATATAAGTGAATGTAATGAACTTGCCTGGAATTCAAACTCGGCTCTCTGATTCCTCAATCTGAATGACTATCCATTACTCTACCATGAATACAAGGACGAGTAAAATATTAACAAATGATTGGCTTAAAAAAATGTGTTATCTCTGCCTGCAGAAGATTGCACACCTTATATGACTTAGGAATTTATACATTTTTACGAGTAGGCATATGCCCATCAGTGGCCTTGACTGCTGGGGAATGGTGGTTTTTATCATGTCACCATCTCTAGACAGATTGTCAACCAAGGCTGAACAGTTATCTACTCATTATCATAACCATTCCAAACACTTCCCTCTTCACTATTCCACTCACAAGATTTGGTTCAAACCATGATGTGGTTTGCAAGCACTTCCAGTAGTGCCACATGATCCCATCACTTGTCATTCTTCTTTCAGTTGCTTTTTATGAGTGATATATTCCTCTGTGACCAGGTTAATCTTTTACCAGTATTTATTTTTAGTTATGTCCTTTCTTCTGCAATTTCCAGTTGGTTGATGAGAGGAGTGTGTTAAGGTATATTTAGCTATGTGGTATCAGTTGGTATAGATGAATGTTGCTGGTACTTTGTTACAATCATACTTTAATAAGAAGTTGTTTCAGTAAATATTTTGGAGTCAAGTTTGGTGACTCTGAGGTAAAATTGTAGCTTACAATAGTGAGTGTGGACATTAAAATTAGTTTTTGGAAAGCATGAACTTTGCATACAAGATTAAAGGTATTTTGTTTTGTTTGTTTTGAAAGAAAACGTTTTATATGTAATTGAATATGCTATTTTCTTTGAAAGAGTTTTTTTTTTCTTTTCTCTTTTTTCTCCTTTTCTCTTTTTTTTTCTCCTTTTTCCTTCAGAAAAAAAGTCTCATTTTTTTCATTTTTCATTTTATTTTATTTTTTTTATTTTCATTTCTTTGGGAAGAAAATGTCTTATGTGCAATCAAATACAATATTTTCTTCAGGAAGAGGTTTCCTTTTTTCATTTTTTTTTTATTTTTTACTTTTTTTACACCTGATATGAACTGAAGAATGGATCTGCTGAAATGTTTTAACAACAGCAATTAAGCAAACAGCATAAGTCATAAACAAAAGGGTTAATTTGTTCTGTGTTTCTTGATAGCTTTTAGGACAAAAAAAAAAAATCAGAAGTCATGTTTCCTAAGAATTGAATAAAACCTGAAAAAAGTTTTGATATTTTCAGCTTCATCTTCATGATTTCATTTTTCTTAATACATGATGCCTATCAACTGTGATTACTGCAGGCCCCCCATTATAAATCACTGTTTCGTTTCGTGATTTGTAGAGTCCACTAACCAAAGTGGCCAGCAGTGACCACCAGGCTCAGCAGCAACGCACAACGCCCTCGGTGTCCAGTAGTCTCATCGATCTTACTGTGGAGGACAACATTAATGCCAGTGTGAAAAAGTCTTTCTCCAGCTCCGATGTTTCTGATATACATGGTCAAGACTTCTTGGATTCCAACTTGTTAGGAACGCCAATGAGCGAGTCAATGTCAAATACCATCCGGATCAGCCCTGAGAAAACCATTACACTGCCGTCTCTCACAGAGGCTCAACTGCGTGCAATCACTGGTAAGTCAATGTCTGCTTTCCTTATTGTTTTTGGTCGAATGTTTATTAGCATTGATACTGGAACTGGCAAAATAGATTTTAGTTTTGGTTAGGGCTGCTTTCATTCACTTTGCCTTTTAGACAGGCATGAACTCTTTTCCCTGCATTCTGGTTTGTAGTCAGATATTTTGTTATAGGCATGCCACAGTGATAGAAGACTTCATAGTCAATCTTGACAATTCAGTTCTTTGTCTGTCAAGAATACTGCTTGCAGCAAACGGCATTCAAGAAATTATCGTATTTAGGACACTAAGCATTTATCATAGAATTGTGGCTGATATCCTTGTTAAAGTTATTGCTTGTTTGTAAAATAATCTTTCCTGTTTTTTTTTTATTTGCTATGTGTGATGTATGTCGGGTAACTTTATCTTTTGATGTATTTTAGTAAAAAAGGTTTTTCCTGTTTTTATGCATTTAAAATGCATCGAAGAAAGTTGTACCATGAAGCACACACAGAATATAAAAACAGTGAAGTTTTTTAACAAAATGCATTGAAGAACAAGTTATATGGTTTGTTAGTTTAAAAACTAACCACATTGATTTAATGTTCTGACATTCTATGTCCCTAGAACTGAAATTTCTTGAGTACATAATGAGGAAAGAGTGCTTTGAAAATTTGACACTAACAAGATATGTTGAAGTCAAAAGGGATAAAGTGCATAGCTTACCTAACAAGTTTGTGTAAATGGTTTTTCAGAATAGGGATTAGAAGAGATAGTGAAAAGATTAAATTTACTAAGATCTACAAAGGGCAGGAAATTGTGGATAGCCATGATCACCGATGCACTGAAGTGACACGGCACAGAGAAGAAGTTCATAAACATAGCTTTGTACAATAAAAGAAGTGAAACTTTTCAATAAAGTCTATATTTGATTCAAATTGTTCTCATCTTTATTATTGTTGACATTACAGAGACACTGCTTCAACTAAGTACCCTCTAGACATCTTCAGATGTCCATTATTTTGACTGATATGGAATCTCTTATATGCATTGATTATTATGTTATTTTCTCCCTGTGATGCCATTTCTTGTTCTGATGAATCAGAGTATTTTACTTCACTACCTGATCCAAGGATTGAACTCTTGATCACTTGATGATAGCAAAACTATATTAATCAGTGCCAATATCTGCTATGCCACCATCCTCCAAAAATGAGGTATTAAAATAATATATCCTGATTCAATAGGAACAAACAAGAGAGCATCACATGGATAGAATAACATATTTTATATTATCCAAAATGTAGATCTGAAGATGGCCAGAAGATAGTTTGCCAAAACATTGAGAACAATAGTTTGAATGAATCAAATAAGTCAAAAGCATATTGATAATTTTTCAACTCCAAAATGAATATTTTATTATTAATATTTTCCCTTTTCCCTTCCTCGTTGATAAGCAATAGAATTTAAATTTTCCATATTGGTAACTTGATCTTGTTCACTGTTGAAATAGCTAAATGTAACTGTAAGTTCTATTCTAATAGTTTCTTCTCTCATACTTCTCGCCTGTGGAACTGTCCTCCAATTTCTTGTTTCCCTGCCATCTATATTCTTAAAAAATTTAAATGCAACATCAGTTACCTTCCTCTGTTTTCTAGAACCCATTTTTTTTATTGTCCATTCTCCTCTTTGACACCACTCATTTTCTTTCATTCTCAGTAACCCCTTGTGTCTTAGTGTCATTGTCATCTTGCTTGGGGTGAAATGATTAAAAAAAAACCTAAACATCTAACCATAAAAAACAACAAAGATAATTATTGATTTTATAAGCCCAAGTCTCAATTTTGTTTCTGAAACTGCAAATGAAAATTAGCATGTATGTCACTTGTATTTGGTTATTCTCATTTCTGTCATTGCATAACATTTGAATTGGAATTTCGAGCTTATATAAATTCTATTAAGTCCAACTAGATCACATAGAAAGATTGTATAAAAAAAATTTAGTCCTAACTTTTAGGAAAAAACCTATATTCAGCTTATTGGCTTGGCACTTTGGTTAAGTACTGAACAAAGATTTTTGATAGCTTGGTATTTGGCAAGTTCAGAAACTGGGCCTAGTTCCTTGGTGGTAATGCTTATGATTAATTCAGAAACCGGGCCAGGTTCCTCAGTGGTAATGCTTATCAAAAGCTGGGCCTGGGTCCTTATTGGTGCTGCTCATCAAAAGCTGGGCCTGGGTTTGGGTCTTTACTGGTGATGCTTAGGACAAATTCAGAAACTGGCTCTAGCTCTTTTTGTTTTAAATTCTGACATATACCTGATAAGGAGTAAAAGTCCTGACAGCCAAAACTTTGTGCCAATAATAGTGAAGACTACTACTCAAAATAATAATAGGAAAGTAAAACTTGATATAAATATTTAAGAATAAACATTAAATTCCTTATTACATGTTTAAGAAACCAAAGTTTGTGATGTTTTTGAATAAAATTCTCTAACTTGAATTAGACCGATTAGGACTTAATTGTAAATAAAATATTGTCAAACAAAGCCTGAATAATGACTGACTGAATAAAAAGCAAAACTATTTTTGATTTCAGACCCAACTCCTGAGGCAGAAGCTCACAATTCCTTGCTGGCCAGTGTAAAAGCAAAAACAGATGCAATTTCTTTGGAAGGGCGTAGGGTTGTCAGTGAAAAGGAATGGGAACTTTTGCAGCAAGAGGTAAGTAGAAAACTTTATAGTTGGAATTAACAAACTGATTTTCCAACTAATTTTGGTTCAATATTTCTTTTATCTCACTTCTGTTGCTTCATATTGCATCTCTTGCAGTATCATTCTTATATCCTTAGTAAGCAGCATGATTCAGAAATAAAGTATATATTTCTTTGTCCTGGAAAGCTGCCTTACCAATTAGACCACAAATACTATCAGTTACATAAAGTCATAGCCAGCTGTATGGCTTTCATTCTTTGTTTTCACACAAACACCTGATTCACTGCCATCTTTGTTTATATACATTTGTTTATGTTAAAATACGCTATAAGCAGATATGATCATTGAAGAAAAATCATGGGAAATTTGTTTTTTTTTAAACACAATAATTTGACTTTGCTTATCAGATGCTTCGTCTGTAGCTAAATGGTGTAGCACATCAGGCTATATAACGGTTCCGTGTAGGTTACGGGTTCTTTTCCTGTTGGAGGAGACATATTTTCTATGAAATTTCTTGGACATTCCAGCCAGTAAATGTAGTTAATACTGCCTATTATAAACGGCATCTTGGGTAAGATGTTAAACTACATCCGTGTCCTGGGTAAGACGATAAACTACATCCAGCAGCAAAGCCTCTGATCAGGTTTTGAGGAGTGTGGAACCACCTCTTAATTGCTGGTGTTCTTAGGTCCACTCTGACCCAGGGTGGTAGCACCTGTTAGGGTCCCAGCTATGGGCAAATAGTTAACTATTACCAGCAATATATTTTTGAAAAAAGTTATTACCAGCAATATAATTTTGAAAGAAAAATATTACCAGAAACAGATTTTTGGCAAAACAAGATATTACCAGCAATAAAAAATGTTGTCAGTATTAAATAACCCATTGAGGTTGATATGCTGTAAAACAAAATAAACCAAACCAATCTAACCCAAAGAATACATATTCTATTCATACGAATCTATCCTAAACATGTTGTTGGCATTAAATAACCCATTGAGGTTGATATGCCATAAAACAAAATAGACAAAACCAAACTATTATAAATGGAGCATTTACTTAAATATTTGTATCTACAAAAAATAACATCTAAACAGAAAATATATTAAAATAATTGTTGGACTCAGTCCATTTCTTAATATAAAATTTCAACCTGTTACATCCCAGGTTGTGGAAATGGACAAAATGAATGAAAATAAAAGACAAGTGTATTTTAACATGTAATAAAATAGCTTTTATTCAATTACTGCCTGAGAACAGCAAGGATTAGTCTGGATTTAAAACCATGAGTTCCACGTGTTTGTCAGCATGTCACCATGTTGAAATCAAAAGTGTTATGTTGCCTCTAGCGGACAAGGGAAGTAACTCAATGTATCTTGAGTTATTGTCCTTTATAGGGGAGTAAATCAACATCCCCCATTGCATCCCAAGCAAAGGAATAAAACCACTAAGATGCGTAGGGTTACTAAGTGTGAAGAAATATGAGAAAAAGAAAAACATTAATGGAGAGAACAATAAAAAAACAGGAATTAAGAAGACAGAAGATAACAATTGACATTGCATTCAAATTTTTGGAGATCAAAGTTGACTGGAATGCAAGAGAAGAAACTGTTAGCATAGAACTTAAACTTACATCTAGCCATTTCAACTGTAAAATGATTATACTGTTGTCGTTTTTATAGTGATATTAATATATTTGGCTCATATAGCTTTCATCTTATTTCTTTTTCTTTTTATCACAACTGTTATCATACAATTGATCAGTGATCAATACAAATCATAAGTAACAAAGCTGGAAACCTTTCCTTTATTTTCTGAGAATTGCCATAACACAACACAACAAGGAAAATTAAGGTGAAACAAGAGTCAAAAAAAAAAAAAAATAATGAATAATTGACAAGACAATTCAAGAAATATAGACAACATAAAATTATTAGTCTGTCTTTAAAAGCTCATTATGGCTCACCACTGCTTCCTTTTCTCTAAAAACTGCAAACTGTGCCTTGTTGGGATTTTTTTGGGGAAGGGTTTTCCAGTTTCTTCTCCATGGTTTTGAATTCAGTTTTCCTTCTCTAAGAATGGTTGCCAATCAACAAACATAAGTTACTGGTGTGAATTTTGCAAGTATGTGAATCTACAATTGGTAGGTAATTGGAATTAGAATAGCAAAGTTAATGTGAAAAGCCAAGATAACCAAGCTAGGGAATTTAGATTTTACAAGTATACCAAAAGTACCCTGGCGTCTAGTTTTTCTAGTGGGCTGTTAGAGGAACAAAAAGCATTTAATTACAATAAATTGAATTAGTACCTAGAATTGTCTGGATTTGAACTCTTAACAGTTTTAACTATTAGGATTTGGTGAAGTGAGCATTGTCCCCACTTCCCACATGCTGCTAGAAAAATGACAATTGAGATAAATTACCTTGCCTATATCTTGACCGAAATTCAGTTAGGAATTTTCTATTAGGGTAAAAAATTCAGCTGATCTCACTTGTTGAAGTCATGAAAATCTGTTCCCTGAACTTGTTACTCTGCACATAAACAAATCAACTTGATTTCTTCCACCTGAAAGAAACTTATTTCCCATAAATACAGGGTTAGTCACACCTGTAGTCAAGATGAAGCAGTTAGACACAGGAGGTCTGGATGAAATTTAGCAGAATAACTGATATCATCCCTCTTAGTCACCTACTTCTCCACCCTTTGCAAGATTATATTTATCTACACTTAAACACAATGTGACACAAGGCCAAGTTTAAAGCGGGGATCCTACATGAAAGCAGAGTTAAAAAATAGTCTGTTCCTTCAATACTTCTTCTTTTGGGGATGCCTCCTGAAATTGAGTTCACATGTACCTTTCAGGTCAAAAGTCTGGAAAAACAAATGGGTTTTTACTGCACAATAAACACTGTTTTTACGGCATTTTTCTTTCTTTTCTTCCTCTCTCTCTCCCCACCTCTCTCTCTCTCTCCCCACCTCTCTCTCTCTCCCCACCTCTCTCTCTCCCACCTCTCTCTCTCTCCCCCACCTCTCTCTCTCTCCCCCCTCCTCTCTCTCTCCACTCTCTCTCTCCCACCTCTCTCTCTCCCCCTCTCTCTCTCCCCCCTCTCTCTCCCACCTCTCTCTCTCCCCACTCTCTCTCCCCCACCTCTCTCTCTCCCCACCTCTCTCTCTCCCCACTCTCTCTCCCCACCTCTCTCCTCTCTCCACCTCTCTCTCCCCTCCCCCAAACCTCTCTCTCTCCCACATCTCCCCCCTTCTTGTAGCAATTGATTTTAGCATTTAACACAATTACTAAATTTTATTGCCAATTCTACTGCTGCAGAGAAGAATTTGGTCAAAAGAAGAATTTTTACGTAGCCTAAAAAGTTCTCATTGGTAAACAAATGAAGTTAGAGATGAGATTTTGCAGTCCAACTTGTTTGCAGGCCTGAAAGCAAATTTACCTACTTGAATAGCTGAACAGACTATCAGCCATCAACCCAGGAGAGTGTTATTGTATTTCCAATATATTGTGAATACAGTTTATATCTAACTCACAAACTGATCATTATTTGGTAAGCCAGAGGATCATCTGATGCCCACAATACAAAAATCGTCGGTGATGGCCCAGGTGTATACCAGCAAGAATTGCTCAGCCTCAAATGTAACCTCAGGATAAAAATTACCCTGCAAATGGGACATAATCTTCTGCAGGCTAAACCAGATAAAAGTGGGAGATCAGAAAATTGTGATGGTCTGTCTCCATTATATTAAGGACATGTTGGAAAGATTTATAACTTCAGGGCAATATTCAGAAGCAGCTCAACTTTACAGAATAATCTTTACTTGGTCAAACCTAACACTGGAGGGAATATGACCAAGAACTTTATGTATTGCATTCCTTGCAGTTGTAGCAAAGAGTACAAAAGTGAAACCATTTGATCCCTAAAAGTAAGATTGGGGGAACATAAAAAAAGTTATAATTAGGGATGAAATAATGAAATCGGGCATGGCTGATCATGTATGGATGGAAAAGAGTGGTCACAAGTCCCTGTGAAGATTAAGTAAATCTACTAAATAGGGAACACTGAAGGAATCTCTTCAGTAGGCCTAGCATAAAAATAAATAGGATATGGGAGCCATTAATAAGAAAGAGAGATGACAATATAGCTGAGCTAGACAGCAAAAATTTCACCAGAAGCAGTAAGAAAGAGGTGTAACAGGTAATGGGAGTCAAGCATGACAGCAAGTAAAATTATAAGCTTTAAGGTTTCCAGTTCTACATAGATTCAAGATTGTCCCACAGTGTTTTGTAAATTTAGTGGCATTGTAATTCCTAGATGTGGACAGTGAAATGAGATGAAATAAGTAAATGGTTAGTTCAAAATTCACTGAAGTTTACTCAGTTGACAGACACCTTAACAGGTCCAGAAGGGTGTAATGGCTGAAACATTGTGCTAATAACAGCAAAGATAATGACCTTTGTCCAAATGTAAATAATGATAACTCTCCATTCCCTTGTTCTTGCTATTGAAATTGGATATATATCCTCTTGCATGAACTGTAGAATAAACTGTGTATTGAATAAATTGTTTGGTTTGAGGCTCCAAGAATCTTATCAAATACATTGGTCACCTAAAAAGGCTGTGGAGTGTCACTGCTGGAATAATGCGACTGTAATGATCAAGAGGAGGACAGCACTTCAAATGTGTTGGTGTATAATAATAATAATTCCTCGTTTAAGAAATTCAAGCTGAAATCGTTGGTATTACTATATTTATTTTTACTAGTAAAAAGGTTCTTACAGCATTGCAGGTGTGGAGAGCATGACTTTTTCATTAAAATATTTGGCAAAGATCCTTTTGACGTGTATTTTTCTGGTTTATCTTACGGCCTCCTTGTCCTTGATGTTATCATATCTGATAAAAATAAACCAGATTAATCATAGTCATGTAGACACGTTTTTGTTTTTATTTGTGGGGAGGGTCAGGGAATCATAAACCTCTTTAGAGCAAATCAGTTACATGTTTAAAAAGCTCAAAGCAATGACATAATTTTGTTTTAAAGAAACAAAACAAAAAAAAACAACTAAAAATTCAAGTAATTTGTTTTAATTGTACAATATACCCCCACATTTTTGTTGTCTTATTTTTCTCTTCTGAAAGAAAAAATATTTTTCATTTAAATAATTAAATAATACAACTGTTATGTATGGGAACTATGATTTTTATACTTATTATACATTTTGGAAAGTGTAAGGGTCTAACATTTATGACTTTTGACACCAGAGAATTTTGACCTCACCTACCACCCCCCATTCAGGGGAAAAGCATGTCTTATACACTGGAAAGTAGGGTATGTTGAAGGTTATTCTATCTTTTCACCAATACATTCTTCACAGATAGTGTATCCCCAACACTACAACCCTCATACCGCCATTTCCTGCCTGTGCATTACACTCCTGCTGGCACCATTTCGTGCCTGCATGCCACCCTCCCGCTGGCGCCATTTCGTACCTGCGTACAACCTTCCCATTGCCATTCCTTGCCCATGCACCATTCCTGTCTGTATACAGACCTCTAATTTATGTCCTTATACAGCCCTTATTTTACCACCTTTAAACAGTTTAAAATACAAGAAACAATCCATTCTTACCTAGAAAAATTACTTTGTCTCTACCAAGAAAGAGCAGCAGTACAACTTTATGCAAAATGCTACAAACCTCATATAATCTTTGATAACTTTCAAGTAGTGTTTAGTAAACAAAGCTTTTCTACAGCACTAAATTTGATCCTCATGTATACTTCCCATATGTAGCCTTGATGTGAGTTCTTCACCCTGGATTATTGGTTAACAAATTTCAGGAACTATTATGATGATCATCAGTTCAATATTTAGTGGGTGCCTCACACTGTGACCTTGTCTTACTAAGCTTATATACATTGCTACAGAGCAGCAGTTAGTAGCCTAGTCCCAGATATCATATATACTGTAGTGAATTCAAGCCGACCGACTGGCTGCTCTATATTTGTGACTTCGCATTGTACAAAGCTAAGCTTAGAAAATCTCTTGAGGTTCATTAACTTTCAACTGAATGAATCCATCATTTGCAACAATATTATAGTAATTGGAGGCAATTTGTAAGAAATATAAATTTAATTTGAAATTTACCATGTTTGTCGTTTCTAGTTGAAGAGCGCGCGGGAGAAGCTTGGTCGGCCGTGCGACATGTGCAACAATTACGAGGCCCAACTGCAGTCGGTACAGGCCCAACTCAAAGATGCACAGGCCAAGATCCAGCAGCTGGAACGATACCTGAAGAGTGAACAACAGGCGTCTCTGAACCAAAGAAAATATCAGGAAGAGTTGGAGAATAATCTCAAAGAAGTGGCTGAAGATGCTCGCAAACAGGTAACCAATTTGGGGGTTAGGGGGGAAAGAACAGGGCATACTTATTGCTTCTGTTTAGATATCTTGCTTTTAATATCTTTTCTCTCTCTCTCTCTCTCTCTCTGTATGTGTAAAAATTCAGATATAAATAAAATATCTGTAAAAAGTATGAATAAAGTCAAAAAGAAAACTTTTTTTACCAACATATTTCGTCCCCTGAGTAACTTTATCAAGGCAAATCTAATGATTTGATTTTGCAACATCTATTTATAAACAGAAGTAAAAGAAAAGTCATTAGGTTTTCAAAATTTTTAAATTTAAGAACACTGAAAAATATTCTTAACACTAATTCTGAAAGTCAAGATAAACTATGGAGGATGCAAAGTGAAGTAATTTAATGTCTAATAAACGACAGTGAGTAAATGTCATTGTTGAATTTTATTTTCTTATTTGTCTCTCTCTCTCTATACACATGATGCTGTCTATCAATGGTCTTTCTGAGAATTGAGTGAAAACTAAGTCGACGTAACAGCAATGACATCATTTTTGAATTTTATTTTCTTATTTGTCTCTCTCTCTCTACACACATGATGCTGTCTATCAATGGTCTTTCTGAGAATTGAGTGAAAACTAAGTCGACGTAACAGCAATGACATCATTTTTTTTAATCGGTCTGTAAAAGAAACTGTTTTGGCATTTGTTGCAGAAATTTCCAGTTGTTATTGAATGTAAAGTAATCTGGTATAAATAAGTAACAATTATATGTAATGTGAATTACCACTTAACTCTATTAATTAGTACAAATGAAAACATTGTAAATTAGGTGATCAATTAAATTACTGGAATGGCATAATTGGTGTCAGAATCTGGAAACCTTGTTCTTAAACAACTACTAAGCTAAATTATCAATTTGCACTCGAATACAAAAAAAAGAAACTTTTAAAAAAATCCCATATGTTTTTATTCATTTTCAGATCTCGACTGTATCAACAAAACTGCAAGAATCTGAGAAATTCACCCAAGAAGTGAAACAGCAGTTAACACAGTCGCATATAGAATTACAAGATCAACTGGTAAGTTTGAAGTCATTAGACACTTCTGTTTGTGAATGCCACTGTGTAGGTAAATCATCATGAAACATTTATATTGTTATAAATTAACCAATACAGCTTTAGTTTGTATATAAAGGTCAAAGTTTGTGTGAACCCCCACAAAATCCTGAAAATAGAATCTATATAAAGTTGTGCAAATATTATATAAAACTGTGACATCAGATTAATTGCTGTGTGGTAACACTTAGACAGACTGGTGGTATAGCAATGATTTTGCCTCTCAGTCCTACTTTAATGTATAGGGTGTATTTGACCACCAATTTTTTGTTTATGCAAGTTTTGATTAAAGTCTAATGAAAAGTCTTTAAGAGCTTTTTGGGTTATTTGTTTGTTTTTTTTTTTTTTATATTTTGGACCATTTGAATAGAAATTGTCTGAGTATTTTTGGATTTCATAAGCTGTTAGAAAAGAGTTTGGCATCAAAGTTCAAAAAGAGACCAAAAGTGCCATTGAGAGAATGAGTCTAGAAATGCAGGAACACAAAATGAAGTAAATTGTTGCATATTATTTGCAGGTTTAGAAAAAAAATAATTGTTTCTTCAGCATTTAAGTGTTTAAAGTTCTCTGTCTGGTTTTCTTTCCAGATCTAATGAAATGACCAAACATGGGAATATATTTTAGAATCATTTCTTGGTAGATCCAAGAATCTTTCACAATTCCATTATATATTAATATATTTAGACTAGCATTCTTATCTTGTTGAGATAGAACCTTTCTGTTGTCTGTTGGGACAAGAACAACCAGAATATGGACTTGTTTGAGTAGATTCATGTATCAGCACAGTGGAGTAATGGATAGCAGTTTGTATTAAGGGCCAAGTTCAAATTCCAGTTAAGTTTGTTATATTCACTTATGTGCAAATGCCCTTGGGAAAAGTATGAATCCATTTCTTCTTAACACCCCCCCCCCACTGCCAGCTTTCAGTAAATATTGGTCCTGTAGTCTTGAGTGGCAACCAGTCTAGGATAAGGACAACTCTGAATTCAAAAACTTCCAACTATGAGTTAAGTCTCACCAACCTGCATTTGGCCAAGTTGGGTGAGTACAGCTCCACCCCTGAAGATATGGTCTATCAGGGAGGGGTTCCTATTTTTTTTTTCATGATAACTTAGAAATTCAGACAAAAGAGAAAAATTTGGTAGGAAAAAGAAAATGTTTGTATTCATGGAAATGTTGCTGGCAAACATTTGAAAAAAAAAAAATTGTTTTTACAGAAAAACTGAAACAAGTGTGCATTGGTGGGGGCAGAATAAAAACCAATGAGCAATCTTGAAAAAATATTCCTTTTCTTTTTTTTTTTTTTTTTTTGTAGAAAAGATTAACAGAATCCAGGGAAGAAGTGCAGAGAGAGGTTTTTTTTTTTTTTTTTTTTTTTTAAATAATTCCATAAATTAAGGAAATTACATTTTTGATAATATATGAAAATTAGTCAAGTAACTAAAGTATATTGGACAGAATAACATTGAGCACTTGATAATTTTGGAGTAAAATGATTTATTGTTTGATATATGCTGAAACAAATGCCTAACTAATTCATGTTTGAACCAAATTAAATTTTTGTTCTAAGAAGAAAAAGTAATTACACAATCTCACAGTAAAGAAAAGAATTCTGGTTAAATATTGTTTGCGGCAAGTTTATTACTGACTTCTGAAGATATTAAATGGCATGGATTTTATAGCATGTCACTTTTGCCAACTTCAGTTCCTCATTGTTTTCTATGTTGGATGTTGACTGGTTAAAGAAGTGGCTTTCTTCTGGCTGACATAAGAAAACAACATATTTTTGTGGGAGTTAAGAACATTGAAATACAAACCAAATGAACTGCAAAGAGAACAGCAAGAAAAACAAAAAAACAAGTTAACTGCATTGCTCCAGCAAGTACCTCACTCCAACTGTTATCCTCTACCTTTACAAGAGCCAGATCAGTCCAAAAATGGAGTACTGCTGCCATGTTTAGTCGGAGCTAATCAATTCTCACTTTGCACTCTCAATAGAGTTCAAAAGCATCTGCACGTCCTTGTGGGTGATGAATTGTTTTCCACTCTGCAACTCTTTCTCACAAACAAGACATCACAAGCCTCTCGCTGATCTATCACTATTTCCAAGGAGTGTCCAGATGAAATACACTCCTTAGTTCCACCAGTCCTAACCTTCACAGCTAAGACGAACATTTTAGTGAACCATCCTCCTTCCCATCTCCCTGATGAGATGTAAGTTCCACTTGAGCAGCTTCTTCCCATGAACTGCTGCATTGTGGAACCAACTCCCAAGAGGCTGCTTCCCCCGATTGCTACAATCTTTACTTGTTCAAGTCTAGGGCTAACTGTTATCTTCCGTACATATCTGCATAAGCTGTACCTTGAGTGGCCCCTGAGTCTTGTACAGGATGAACACCACTGTAAAAAAAATATGTTGGAACGAGGGTTCATAGACTTGGATAATAGCAAATCATTGCTAAGGGCCACTAAGTATAAGAGCCATGATCACATATGTTCCAAATTGACACAACATATGGAAAAAGAGTAGTAATAGAAAGTGGTCTTGATAGTTAGCCAAAACAACGCCATAAAAACAGACTCAAAAAGTCCAAGGTAGATCAAAACATACAAGAGAGCAGAAAGATTAAACTGTGGAAATAAATAAATAAAAAAAAACCAAGTTAACTGCATTGCTCCAGCAAGTACCTCACTCCATCTGCTATCCTCTGCCTTTTACAAGAGCCAGATCAGTCCAAAAATGGAGTACTGCTGCCATGTATGTTTGGAGCTGGCCAATCCTCACTTTGCACTCGCGATAGTCCAAAAGCATCTGCACGTCCTTGTGGGTGATGAATTATTTTCCACTCTGCAACTCCTTTCTCACAAATGAGACATCACAAGCCTCTCGCTGCTCTATCACTATTTCCAAGGAGTGTCCAGATGAAATGCACTCCTTCATTCCACCAGTCCTAACTGTCATGGCTAACACCCACCCTGCCTCACACAGTGTAGTGAATCACTCTCATTCCTTTCATACTCCTCTGGGGAAATACAAGTTCCATTCAAGCAGTTTCTTTCCATGAACCACTGCCTTTTGGAACTGACTCCCAAGATGTTGCTTCCTCAATCTTTACAATCTTAACAATCTGTCTCAAGTGGCCCCAGCAATACCCTTTTGTACAGGGTGAACACCATTGTAAAAAAAAAAAAAAAAAGTCCAGAAAGAAAACATAGGTATGCATGATTGGGTAGGAAAGGTGAACCACAAAGAACTGTGTATAATAACACAAGTACTGGAATATTGAAGAGAATTTCTGTCACTTAATCTCCAGTGTAAGTGAATAATAGATACTGTTATTTTTATGTTATACGATCACTGAAGTTGAGCAACATCAAGCCTGGTCAGTACCTAGATGGGTGACCGCTTGCGAATACCAGGTGCTGTAAGGTTGTATGTGCAGGCGGTGTAATGGATAATGGGTGGGAATTGTTAAGTGGATAGTCGAGTTCCAATTCCCATTGGGTTCATTACATTCACTCATACAGAAATACCCTTGGGAAAATTTTCAATCCATCTCTCCTCTCCACTCTATGTGTTAGTAAGATTTGTATCACTAAATCATTATTATCTCCCCACAAAGAAAATTCTTGCAATCTAAAAATATTTTCCTGATTTAATAACCTGCAATGAGTTGATAAGCCATAAAAAAAAACCTTAATCATCTTTGTTATGTTTTGGCTGTTGTATACTCCAGCCTTCATCAGGTGTAATATGATCTGAGAATTATGAGCTGAATCCTTTATTGAACTAGTAATCCAAGTATGGATTACCCAGCCCATGGATTGAATCCCCGGACTGGGCAGTGTGTACTTACACTCATTGGAAATAGGCAGGCAATAACTGAGCAGTAGTCAAGGAGTAATTGTGAGTTCAATCTCTATGCCGGGCAGTGTGTACTTGGACTCAGTGGAAACCGGGAGAACAATAACTGAGCAGTACTAAAGGAGTAATAGTGAGTTCAATCTCTGTGCCAGGTAGTGTGTGGAAATAGGCAAGCAATAAATGAGCAATACAACAAAATAAGAATTAGACAAGATATTCCTAAATATAGGCATTGGAATAAGAAGTCTATCCTTGTAGATTAAATAAAGGATTCAGTTCTGAATTTCTTGTAGGTTACCCATATACCTCATAAAGACCGAAGGGCACAGTGGCTGAAATGTGATAATAGTCCGAATCTAAATAGTGTAGTTTACTGTTGAAATAGCTAAATGCAGCTACCACTTCTACTCCAGCAGTTTCTTTTCTCGCACTTCCTGCATGTGGAACTCCCTTCTGTTTCCTTTGCTTCCCTCATAACTATAATCTTCAAAAATTTAAATGCAACATCAATTGCTATCTTCTTGAATCCTGTTCATCTTTTGTCCTTTCCTCAATCCTCCCTATACTCTGTCTTCTCTCTCACTTTCACTCCCTGTAACCCCCTGCATACTAGTAGCATTCCCACCTTGCTTGGGGTGAAATGATTTAAATGCAACATCAATCACCATCTTCTATCTTCACTTTTTGCCCCTATCTTTTAGGGTAACCCTGTACCTTGAGTGGCTCTTGGGCCTTGTATTAGGTGAACATTAAAAAAAAAAAAAAAAATAATATAGAATAAATACTAGTCAAAAAATTAATAGACTGTGTTTCATCTAAAAACAAAAAAAGGTGACGTCTGTTGCATTTAAGATTAAAAAGTAGCAAGCATAAGATGAAAGTAATTGCATCTAAAACGGAATCATCATCAGCATCATCATCAGTGCCATACATTTACCTGCTTCCCTGATTACTACAATCTTCAAAAATTCAAATACAATGTCAATCACCAACTTCTATCTTCTTGAATCCTTTTCATCTCTTGTCGTTTCCTCAATCTGCTCTATACTCAGTCCTTTCTCTTACTTTCACTCCCTGTAACCGCCCTGCATACTAGTGGCATTCCTGCCTTGCTTGGGGTGAAATGATTAAAAAAAAAAATTTTTTTTTTTTTTTAATATTTTTGTTTTCTTTAATAAATTGAAACCTTATTATTTTTTTTTTTTTTTTTATTTATTTATTTTTTTTTTTGATTTCAGCTGGATAGATTGACTCAGGAAAATGATGTTCTGGTGGGCAAACACTCTAAGCATTCCCAACAGTTACAGAATGAGGATATTAATCTCCCAAATAATCTTGAGGTAAGCAAATGTTTTATTTCATTTGATTAGTATAATGTTCAACTTGTAAATAAAAATGTGTGAAAGTCTGGATTGTCTGTGATAAACATCTCTTTACATTCTTTATTTGAGGGCAGCCTGCACACTGGTAACATGTAACCCAGTACAACCTGTCATGGATCTGTGGTTGTCTAAACCAGCTCTCCCTCCCACACACACACACTAGCTTTTCTGCTGGTGTCGATAGTGGTACACTACCTCACAGGATGTAAAAAATAGACTTTCCAAAGAATCCAATGGCCAACATATATATCTGTGTGTGTGTGTGTGTGTGTGTCTGTCTGTGTGTGTGTGTGTGTGTGTGTGTGTCTGTGTGTGTGTGTGTGTGTGTGTGCATACACATGTTTGCCATTGGATTTTTTTTTCATCCTGTGAGGTTGTGTGCCACTATCTACATCAGCAGAAAAGCTATTGGGTGCGGAAGAGCTGCTTTAGACAACCACCCATCCATATGACAGGTTGTGTGTGTGTGTGTGTGTATATATATATATATATATAATAATATAATGGACTCTCCCGTCGGTTTCGACATATGAGGATCTGACAGCTTATTGATTCAGTTATGAAATTTTGTGCGATAATCTTAAGTGGCATTTAAGACCCGCTAGTGACTTACAAAGGAGGCCACATATGGAGCAAGTGTGAGGATTGTGAGATGAGATCACTGTTAGATTGGCTGACCTTTTACATCTTGCTCTCGCTTTTTGAAGATGATTCAGACAAGCAGATTGAAAATTGCCGAGTCCACTAAAACACGTTGATCTCCATTCTACCTGCTCCAAGGCTAAGCGCTCAAGGGTGTTATGTGGCATATTGACTGCTGACAAGTTGCTTTTCAGCTTGTCTTTGTATCTTAGTCATGGGTGTCCTACATTCCTGTAGCCCTGATCTAATTCGCTGTATATTAGGATCTTGGGTATCCTGTCATCAGACATTCTCATGACATGACCAGTCCACCGTAACTGAGACTGTATGGTAAAAGTCTCAATTCCTCCAATATTACACCTGTTAAACAGGTCTATATTAGATGTCCTATCTTGAAGCTTAACTCCACAGATTGCACGCAGACAGCTTTTATGGAAAACATCTAGCTGGCGTATATGGTACCTGTATGGAGTCCACGACTCTGAGCCATACAAAAGGATGGCAAGTACAACAGCTCTGTAAACCTGAATACCCCGCTCATTCCATACTAAATAATGAAATAGATGAAAAATTTTCATAGTAAAATCGACTTTGCTAACCAAAATGCTCCTCTGTGGCTCAATCGGTAAAAGTACGTCAGGCTATATCACAGTTCCGTATAGGATACAGGTTCGATTCCTGTTGGAGGATGTATATTTTCTATGAAAATTTCTTGGACATTCAGGCTGGTAAATGTCGTTAATACTGTTTATTATAAACAGAGCATTTACTTAAATATTTGTATCTATAAAAATATATATAAACATAAAAAAATTGTCTTAAAATAAATATATATATATATATATATATATATATATATACACACACATCATGCTTTCTCCCAGAAACTGTAACTAAGATCCACTCAGCATAGTTGCAATATAAACCACATGTGGGCTCTGTGGGTTTTGAACAAATGCAAACGTGCCTGAACAGGCATCTGCAACAGGGATTGGCTAGCTACCCTAGTAGACAGGGATCAGATATGTGTGAGCACCAAATTTTTTTTTTTTTTTTTTTTTTAACCTTGCCTCAAGTTATTATTTTTTCAGGCAGGACCCACTTTGCTTTCTGCATGATTAATCCTGGTTCCAAAAAAAAAACACAGCTATGATGATGATGATGTAGGTAAAAATCACTTCTGATTTCTCTTGAGGATTCAGATCTCTATTGTGTTGCTTGTAACTCTCAAAAAAATTGGTCATGTCACCCTGCTGAACCAAAGACAAAATCTGTCAAAGGTCAAATGAGCTTCTTATAGGAGTCAGTGGCCAACATATATAAGGCTAGTATGGGGTCTCAGGCCTTCAATGTCAACCTTCCTATGGATGATGGCTTGATAAAAATAACTCACTGTACTTGGACTACTGTGAATGCTTGAGTTGGATGTCAGAAAGAGCATCCAGCCTTGCCTTATGACAAGATTTCTGTCAGGCATGACCCGCCTTGCCTCAAATCAATATGAAAAGATTTCTGTCAGGCAGGACCCGCCTTGCCTCAAATCAATATAACACGATTTCTGTCAGGCAGGACCCGCCTTGCCTCAAATCAATATGACAAGATTTCTGTCAGGTAGGACCCGCCTTGCTTTCTGCATGATTAATCCTGGTCACATCTCAACAAAAAAATGCAGCCATGATGACAATGATGTAGGTAAAAATCACTTCTGATCTTCTCTTGAGGATTCAGATCTTTATTGTGTTGCTTATAATTCATATAAAAACCATGTTAGTTGAGAAAAATACTAAAAAAAATCACTTTTAAAACCTTTCTGTTGGTATGGAGGGTGACATGTCACACTGCTGGACCAAAGACAAAATCTGTCAAAGGGCAAATGAGCTTCTTATATATAAGGTTAGGATGGGGTTTCAAGCCTTGAATGGAAACCTTCCTGGGGATGATGTCTCGATAAAAACACTCACTGTACCTGAACTGAGTCGAGATCAAGAAGAGCATCCAGCCTTGACCCAAATCATTATGATGAGATTTTTCTGTCAGGCAGGGCCCACCTTACTCTGTGGATGATTAATGCAGTCTCAACAAGAAAACACTATTTTGAATTTCCATTTTTAATCTGGGATCATTGTTATTTTCTCCTTTAAACAATGTTTACAAAACAAATGATACTGACTGTAACTTTACCTGAAATTTTTTTTTTTTTTTATCATTTTGCACCTGCTTAGGAGATGCAACTCTTGTTATTGAATTACCGTGAAGAGATCATTGCTGCGAAGGTGGCCAAGGAACATATAGAAGATACTCTTAAAAGTGAGATCCTTTTCTTAAAAGATAGGGTCCTTGCTGAGCAACAAGAGAAGAACACTGTGGAAGAGACCTTGTCACAAGAGGTTAGCTCCTTGCAAGAACGACTAGGTAAGAGACTTTCTTTTTTTTTTTTTTTTTTTTATTAATCATTTCACCCCAAGCAAGGCAATAAAGCCACTAACATGCAAGAGATTACTGAGTGTGAGAGAATATAAGAAAATAAACACATTAAGGAGAGAGAATAATAAAAGAACAGGGATTAAGAAGACAGAAGATTATTGATATGACATTCAAATTTTTGAAGATCAAAGTTGACTGGAAAGCTGGAGATCGTAAAAGAGTTCCACAAGCAAGAAGTGCAAGAGAAGAAACTGTTAGCATAAAACTATAATTGACTCGTATTGCTTTCATCTTTTATTTCTCTAACTTTTTATTGCAACTCTCAGAATGTTATTGTACAATTAATAAATGAACAATGCAAATATAACGATTAACATTGCATTTAAATTTCTCTCTCACAGTCGCGTGCTCTCTCACAGTCGCGTGCTCTCTCACAGTCGCGCTCTCTCTCACTGGCTTTCTTCTGGCTGCTCTTTTATAATAACCAGTGTCTTGAAGATAATGTACTGTCACTTTGCAAAAGCAACTTTTTTCTGTTTCATACTTCATTGCACAAAGACATGTTGGCCACTGTTAACCGAAACATATTATAGTTTTTTTCTCTTCTTTCTCAAATTAATTGTACAGTCATGTAATTTTTTTTTTTTTTTATAGTAAAATATTAAGTAGTAATTTTTGTGGAGTACATGTTTATTGAATGCGAAATTTCTATAAAATGAGTCTGTTTACTTATATACATACACACATATGAGACGGTGCTGAAAAGTTCTTCACCTTTCCCTTGAAAAAAAATATTTGGTTATTTGGTCAGATTTTAGGATGTTGGTCAGCTCAGGAACTTTTTTCTTAATGATTTAATATTAAATCAGTTATCCGCTGTTTTTAGTCAGATTATCATAATGTCTGAAGGAGATACATTGACTTAGTCAAAATTCTACTGAACGGTTCTAATCTGGTCATTAAAATGTTAAACCTGATCAGTATTTAGATAAGAAACTGGCTACGAATATTGGGTGCTATGAACAATGAGAGGGTTTGTGCCAAAACTGGTAAACTGTCTAAAATAGGGAGGTGCTCTCCATTGTCCTCACCTCTTGGAATTTGGGTTTTATCTTTTTTTTTTTTTTTTATGATTTCTTTTTTTCAGTGTGTACCAGGCCAGAAACTTTTCAGCACTCTCATGGAGACACACAAAACACAATGATGCACAGTTTAACTTTTTTTTGTTTCCTTCTCTGTGCTACATACTTGTTTCTTTGAGATTTGCAGCAGATGCCAAAAAAAATAGCATTAGCAAAATTGATAATGAAAGTAGTTTGATAGGTTTAAACATTTTGGTGGTAGTTTGTTTTGTATATGGCTTGTTTATATTGTAATTTACTATTTGTTAGGTTTTCAAAACATACTGAGAAAAATGTTACCATTACTTACTTCCCTTTACTCCCATTCTGTAATCTAAATGTTAGTGTGTTTAACACTTTCAAGCCAGAAATTTACTTCATTTCAATACACTATTGTCTTACATCTCACACACACAAAATCAATTTTATATGTAATTAATTTCCAAGGTTTTGAGCAGACACACACACACACACAATTTGAGCTTTATATATCAGATTGTAATTTTTATTAGAAATTTAGATATGTTTTATTTTTCTTTCAGCAATTCTTGAAAGCTGCAAGTCTGAATTGGAACGAGAATCCTCAGTGCGTGCTGAGACAGAGACCAAACTGCGTGACTCCGATCAATCTCTGAAGAAGATCCAGACTAAGTCGAAACAACTCATCAATGCCTTAAGTCAGCAGTTAGACGAACAAACCACATTACGG